ATGTGTGTATATGTATATATATATGTGTGTATATGTATATATATATGTGTGTATATGTGTATATATATATATATATATAATGTATGTGTGTATATATGTATGTATATGTGTATGTATATATGTATATATATATGTATGTGTGTGTGTGTGTATACACACACACACATGTCGTTGTGGGTTTTCCTCTGGGTACTCTGGTTTCCCCCCACAATCCAAACACATGCTGAGGCTAATTGGAGTTACTAAATAGCCCATAGGTGTGCACGTGTGACTGAATGGTGTGTGAGTGTGGGTTGTTCCCTGCCTTGTGCCCGTAGCTTCTGGGATAGGCTCCGGACTACCCGTGTGTGTATATGTATGTATGTATTGTGCACAACTGCTAAATATATACACATACATATGGTTTGATTTGATGTGTGATGGGTTGATTTACTTATGACCTCTGTTAAACCATTCTGGCTGGCTCAGTGTTTCAGCCATCAGAGTACATATCGGTGTTTCGCTCCATTTTTCTGTAGGTGTATTATACAAAGAAAAAGCGACGTGCCCAGCAGGTTCCCCCTGAGGATTCCAGCACTAAAAAGGAGCGCAAGGTGTACAATGATGGTTATGATGATGACAATTATGACTACATTGTCAAGAATGGGGAGAAGTGGTTGGACCGTTACGAGATTGACTCACTCATTGGCAAGGGCTCCTTTGGACAGGTAAGAGCAAGGATGGGGCACTTTTGTCTGGCATAAAAGGAATAATATTTGGTGATTAATGGATCTCAATGAAAGGTAAATTCTCTTCCACCTAAGGATTTTAAAAGGTTTTTCCTGTGGCTCTTTACAATGTTCTATGACTGTTGTCAAGTGTACAGTATTTGTGACAGTATTATTATGATGCTGGGGCATGCTGTTGTGCAGATGGACAGGTGATTTTCTGTCCTTATGGAGGTTGGGGGACTATAGGTTACAGGAATAGAGATTATTAAGCGGAGAGGAAGGCTCACATGGTTTGCTGTAAATGTGGTGCATTGCATGCCTAACTCCTATGTGTGTTTTTGTGTGTGTGTGTGTGTGTGTGTGTTCTTGGTTCAGGTGGTAAAAGCCTATGACCACCATGAGCAGGAGTGGGTAGCCATCAAGATCATCAAAAACAAAAAAGCCTTCCTGAACCAAGCTCAAATTGAGCTGCGCTTGCTGGAGCTCATGAACAAACATGACACAGAGATGAAGTACTACATTGGTCAGTTTCCTGCTCATGTTTCTGTCCTGAGCTGGCATTTCACCGATGAGGGGAGCATATAAAATCTTAATTTTTTAGTGTCATATTCTGAGAATACAAATTGTTGTGAGAACATTGAATTAATCTTCTGGTATGGCTACAAAATGATGCCTGTACATTATGTTCTTAAGAACATGCTTTTAATAATGTCACTTCAGACAGATCTTATGCTTTGTACCTTTAAAATTTACTGTTTCTGTTTTTCTACAGTGCACCTGAAGAGACACTTCATGTTTCGGAACCACCTTTGCCTGGTGTTTGAGCTTCTGTCCTACAATCTGTACGACCTCCTGCGCAACACCAATTTCCGTGGTGTTTCGCTCAATCTGACACGCAAGTTTGCTCAGCAGTTGTGCACAGCCTTGCTGTTCTTGGCCACGCCGGAGCTTAGCATCATACACTGCGACCTAAAGCCTGAGAACATCCTCCTCTGCAATCCTAAAAGGAGTGCCATCAAAATTGTGGACTTTGGAAGCTCCTGCCAGCTGGGTCAACGGGTGAGCATGCTCGGAACAACACTGAAGGCATGAGGTCAAGCCCCAACAAGATGGCATATCCTAAAGAAGGACAGTATAGCTAAATTTAATAAGGCTGTATAGTGATTCATTACAGGCAAATAATTGCCTGGTAGATAAGTAACTATAGGGAGGGAATATAGCAGGAATCTTAACTAAGGGATTAGTGCAATTCACTAAGTTGTATATCTAAACAAGCTGCATGAGTTATGTTAGTTACTGATTCTAGAAATATAGAAATTCTTTCGTTTTCACATTTCCCATCTTGTAGACACACAGGGTCACCCATTTATTGAGTATGCCTGGAGTATTTTTTTATTTATTATTATTTTTTAAAGAGTTGCTCAAGGAACCAGCAGTAATAGTTATGCTGCCTACCATGGAATTTGAGCCAGCTACCTTCTGATCATACGTGTCCTAACCCACAAAGCTATATTTCGCTTGTTGAGAAGTTGGTAAACAAATGAATCAGAAGAGAACATGCAAAATGTTTTGCTTTTTTTTTGTAGCTGAATATAGAAAAGGGGCTAGTGTGGAATTTTTCTGCTCTTGCATGTCTTGTACACTTCGTTAGAAATGAGCTTTGTGATAGAACATGTGATATAGAGAATACAAGACTTTCAGCTGTGCGACTACTTACTATTAGATACAGTCATTGCTGCCATCTAGTGAGTAATAGATGCATATATACACCACTGACATTTAGCACTGTCCTTACATCCTACATCTTCATATGTAATCAGCTAACCCTTCTGTTTCCTCAGATCTACCAGTACATCCAAAGTAGGTTCTACCGATCTCCGGAGGTACTGCTTGGCATGCCTTATGATCTGGCCATTGACATGTGGTCCCTAGGCTGCATTCTGGTTGAGATGCACACAGGGGAGCCTCTCTTCAGTGGTTCCAATGAGGTACACCAGAGACACTATGCCTATCTGCTAGTCAGTTCATGGTTTTAGAATGGAAAGATTCTTTGGCTAAAGGTTTGGCATTGGCTAAAGGTTATGCCTATTTGTTAATGCATTGGTAACTAAAACTAAAAAATAACCATTGATTGGTGAAGCTTTTCATTGGCACCTTTACTATTTAGTTACCACAGCCTAACAAACATTGCTCCCTTCCCACAACAGGTGGATCAGATGAATAAAATAGTTGAGGTGCTGGGTGTCCCCCCCAACCACATGCTAGACCAGGCCCCCAAAGCACGGAAATATTTTGACAAGCTGTCTGACGGCCTCTGGACCGTCAAGAAGAACAAGGACATAAAGAAGGTACTTTATCCTTCGGCTTGCGTGAGTAAATCTCTGCCTTCTTTTTTAGCATTGCCCCTGATTATCACAATTAATTCTCAAATTTTGTCATCCCTGATAGTAGGGAGAGTGCGAGTTTGCCAACAGCACAGTTTCATCGTAAGCAATGAAGTTAGCACCTTACATTCTGCATTTAACATTAGAAATGGCACGCTGCTCTATTTTTGAGTCTTACCTCTTAACCGGTTATTAACTAGTTATTAACCAGTAACAAAACCTGTACAGTATGGTATACTGGAATAGCCTCTCTAACACAGGCTGTATATACAGTAAAATCCCGTTATAACGCACTTCAAGGGACCTGGCAAAACAGTCCGTTATGTCCAAAGTCCGTTATATCCAGAGTTGCTGTATGCCCAGAACACAACTACAGGACACCATTTACTCATGCCACACCCCAGCAGACACACTTGTGGTATAGATTATTATATTGTACATGTAGTAATCCAGTTGTACCTGACCAGATGCGTGACTATTAATAATCCCGACTACCTATCTATTCTGGATATCCGGCATGCCACGCGCCTTGTAGGCAGAGCCTGCATGTCTGTTATAGCCGAACAAAACTACAGTTAAAAGCGGCCCTGGGGACCAAATTGTTTGTCCTAAATTCCGTTATATGTGAGTCCGCTATCCGATGTTTTTTCTGCATGTTCTTAAAGGTACACGGCCGGACCAGCGGACCTTGTCCGTTATAGGCGATATTCCGTTAAGTGAGTCCACCATAATGGGATTTTACTGTATATTTAAACTAGGGCTGTCAAAATTAACGGGTTAACGCAGATTAATCCATCATAATTAATATGATTAAAAAATTTTACGCAATTAACCCATCTGCAGCGCAGAATGACTCAAAATCCCTGAAAAAACCCATTTCGGGCAGTTTTGCCCTCGGAACTCGTATTCCGAGTCGGATTCCGAGTTTTAAAGCGGGAAGTGTGAATGCGCGTTCCCGTTTCTTGGAGATCTGAGAAATTTCTCGGAGCAGCAGAGAGGATCCTGAGTTCAGAATCCAAGATGGCTGTGCCCTTTATCAACAGAAAGGGAAGTTGTAGTTTTATACTGTTTAAACACTACTTCTCATTTGTGGCTCATTAAATCGGTCGCACACACTATGCTGTCCAACTTATCTGTGGACGTGTTGCTACGGAGTTTTATACGTAAAGCACCGCACGTAATGTGTTATCAACTGATATTGGTAACAATGGCAATTAACCGGGCTAGAATTGGATTTCATGATTAGTCGGATTATTTGTCGGAATTACGGTAGTTCGGGCTAATTGTAAATGAATGAAAATAAAGACCATTTAAACTGAGGTGCCTTAAATCCGACAAGTTGTCCGGCTAAGCAAATATGCTTTTTGATATGGGTCCATGGTATTGCACTTCTGTGACAGATGGAATGCATCCGACTCGTGTTCAAGATGTTCAATAAACACGTTAAGTGCATATATATTCCCTTTTTTCTTGAGTCTGTTTGCTCAATGAAATGTGTCATGCAAAATGAAATGTGATTAATATAGATTTAAAATGAATGATATTTAATTGTGATTAATCGAAATTAATCCACAGCAACCCTGTGATTAATCTGATTAAAAATTTTAATCGTTTGACAGCACTAATTTAAACATAAGTTCAGTGATACCTATGGTAGTTGCTGTTCTTCTGTAAGACTACATTAGTGCACTAGTTGAAACAAACAAGATGGTAAACCATTAGCATTAGTCATTCTGCCTCTTTATCTATGAGCAGCATTTGTCCTTTCAAATGTGTTTGTTTGACCTTAAGAATGACTCTGTAACCCAACACTTCCCTGTATGCCTGTATTATCTCTATGGTAATATCAACAAAAAGGTAATTGAATAAGCAACACTTTCTTGGAAAGAAGAGATGTTATGGGAAAAATGAGAAAATCTTAACTAGAAGGCTTTGTCATATGGAGATTCTGCCCAAGTAGACTAATAAAGCTGGGATGGTGACTTTGTAACACAGTATGGCTGGTTAGTAACACTGGCTGGGTTCCAGTAGCTTGGTCTTGCATTGTCAGTTTCAAATTAAGTTAATTGCACATTTTATCTAAATGCTAAAATAACACACATTGTATATATTTTATTTGCAACTCAAAAATATAATGAAATCCACATGTGCATGAATGAATGATTGATGAGCATTTTACAGGTAATAGTACCCTCGTATGGAAAGCTATCATTAGCACAAGGAGAAAAGCATATTTGCTAGATAATACCAACCTCTACATTTAAGAATGGCCTGATTAAGGTATGTAGGTACATGATGGTTAGATGCCGATTTGGTCCACTTGGTTCAAAGTTTATGAACTTGAAATCTTGTTTGCTCAAACTTTGACAAAAATTTGTGGTACCAGATATTGCAAGGAATGGCCATTGTTTTCACGTAATACGGGAAAATAACCTATTACATTTGAATTGAACGTTGGATAAAGATTCTAAATAAAAGATACATATAAAGAAATGTGATCTTCATTGTTTAACAGACTAAACTGGTTTATTTAAAGTCAGATATACTAATGTAAAAATATGAACACTTTCAATCAATAACCTAGTAGTGCTGACTTGTTAAAGTGTCATAACTACTAATTAGTCTATCATCTTTGAGGGATTCTTGCACATTCCTTCTAAAAGAACTTTGCCAACTTAGTGAGGTTTGAAGGTTATTTGACAAACTTACCAAATCTTATGAGAGGATCTTAATTGGATTTAGGTTATTAACTAGAGATGCCCCGATCCGATATTCGGATCGGTATTGGCATTGATCCAGACCTATTTGACGGATCGGGTATCAGCCGTGCATGACCGATCCACATCTTATACTTTAGTTTTTGGCAGTACGAGGAGCGTAAGATAAGACGTGATGATCTGGGAGTATTTTACGCTTTTAACAGAAACCAGTAACACAGCGATTTGCTATGTTTGTAAAATAAAGTTTTGAGAGGTGGGAATAGCACTTCATGGACAATACCACTTAACAAAGTGCACGCAACTGCGAGACAAAAAAAGCAATGGATGATTTGGGAGTCGCTAACCTGGACTGACTTGCGAACTCGCTGCAGCTTGTGATACAAGGGGGGCTGCTATCGCAGCAAAGTGTAACTGAGCTGACACCAATGGGACAAAAATTGTGTTAAAATTTTAAGCATTCGCCACTTGTGTATACTTCTTTTGAAGATATTCATATTGAACTGCAAATGCCACAAACGCTTAAAACAAGACGTACAAACGAGGTGGAACAGTACGTTATGTATGTTTGTAGTAGCCTAATTAAATATTTTTTGTGATACATTTTTTCCATCTGTATTTACTAGCGTTAAAAAATTAATATATAAAGTATAACAAAGTAAAAAGGGCTCTTGTATCGGAATCTGTATCGGTATCTGCAGTTGTGTATCGGAATCGGATCGGAACTGAAAAAATGTGGATCAGCCCATCCCTATTGTTAACCCTGAGTTGGCCAAGTCTAAACACAAAGTTTCTTCCTGGGACTGGTAGATCTACTTACATTTTTCAGATTCAGTATTGTTGGCATGCCTTGTGATCTGGCCATTGACATGTGGATTCACTTTTGGTCCAACTTTGTCTCTGATGGCCAGATGTATTAATTCTGGTTGACATCCTGATTTTTTTTATATGGTTGAAGCCATGGGCATTTTAGCCTTTTTTGTTTTTTTATTATTGAATTGTGACCTTAAAGGTCATTTCTGGACCCTCTTATTCAGAGCTGACCTGGCCATCTGGCTTACTGAGCATTTTCTCAGTGGGCTGACAAATTCTATTGCTTAGCAATAGTTAGCATGCCCTCCCCCAGCTTGCCAAAATATATTCACCCCAAAGTACAAGGCTTATTTTTATTTATTTTTAAATTCCAGTCCAGCCCTACCTTTAATGAGAAAAAACTTTCAGGTAATACAGATGGTTTCCCCCAGCTGATGAACGGTTACTGTATTTGTGTTAAAAGTCTTCTTCATATCTATCCTTGCTCATATGCAAATTAAGATCCCTGTTCCATATCACAATGGAGGTCTGTAACTTTGTAACATTATTTGGGTTGCTTTTTACTTGATTTGTTTTTTCTTATGACGCCTGGTGCTATTTCAGGATGTCCACTTAAGCAGAGTTACTGTCGGGATTGGTGCTTCCCCAGACAGATGTGCAGATATTGCACTCTTTCTGAGTTCCTCTAACATTTCCTTAAGTATCTGTATCTTTTATCTTCTTCTGTATGGGTAACAACAAACTGATGTTTTTTTTCCCTGTATTTGGAGAGCCACCTACATGCTCCTATGTATCAGACCTTTGATTTGAACTTGGTGCCAATTAGTTTGCCCATCTGATTCTGCTTACCCTGATTTAAATACGAGGCAGTGAGGTTCACTTGTTTTTGCACTTTCACTAATTTCTACCATATTTTTGTTCTAGTACATGCATAACTTAGTTTAAAAACACAGGATAATACATGTACTGTTTGACTCTCTCTCCCCCATTTAACTCTGAATGTTGGATAAGTGCTTATGGAAAAAGGGACGGCTGTCTCTCGTCGTCCATAGTAGTATTTGAGAATGTCTTCTTCTCTTGTCACCTTCTCACTCTCTCAATTATTCCTCCTCTTGTCGCCTCTTTTCAGGAGTATAAGCCCCCTGCCACAAGACGGCTCCATGAGATTCTTGGGGTAGAAACAGGGGGACCTGGGGGCCGGCGGGCCGGAGAGCAGGGCCACGCCCCCTGCGACTACCTGAAGTTCAAAGACCTGATCCTCCGCATGCTGGACTATGACCCTAAGACCCGCATCACACCCTTCTATGCTCTGCAGCACAATTTCTTCAAGAAGACCACTGACGAGGGCACGAACACCAGCAGCTCCACCTCTACTAGCCCTGCCATGGACCACAGCCACTCCACCTCCACTACAAGCTCAGTCTCCAGCTCCGGTAACCGTACAGCCTACTGATTTGCAGTGCTTTTCTTTCAGTAGCTTGTGCATTAGAAAAGCTCTGTACAACTTCTCCACCAGCTCTGAATGACCTTTGCTGACAATTGAATGATTTAGAATTTTGAGGCACAAATATGAGCCACCTTCTTCCCAGGCCAAATGACCGTAAACTTCCTTTAATGAATCTATATCAGCAGACACAATAAGATGACAAATGATGTGGAAAATAGACTGCATAAATAGGGATATGGTAGTGGTTGTTTCCTGACATTCCATTCTGGCATACTCCTGTAGTCTACACTGCCAGTAAAAAGTTTTTGCACACACTGAGATTTTCTACATTTGTATGTTACTCACTTAACATTTACTAAAAGTACACCCAGTAGTTTTTGCTAATAAATAAATTTACAGCACGTTCACCATTTGAGTATCTTTTTAGCAAGAAAATGTCACATCTTTGATTCATCAAAGTAACCCCTTCTAGCAGTTATAACAGCAAAGAAAATTCAAGGCATTCTTTCTACAAGGGACATTACATACTGTTCTGTTTCATGGAATTACTGGTAACTGGTGCATTTAAAGTTAAAGGACAGCTTAGAATTTGACTATGCCATTACCACACAACCATTTTATAGGATGTCAGACATGCACTATTTACATATTCTTTCCATGTTATAAAGGAATCTTTTTTATTTGACTTATATTTTCATTATTTGTTCCCTTAACTTTCCAAAGCTTAACAAGAATAATAAATCTGCAGTTTTTGAAATAAATGGGAAAGTGCCTTCCTTCTGAGATTCAGGCACCTGCATTTAATCAAATCTTACTTATATTACACACCAAATGAAATTTTGGATACACTAATCTCATACATGCACAATTAAAACCACATCCAATAAATAGGTTACATTGCTTGTTTATGTTAAGTAAAGTAGCCCTAATGCAACTCTTGTTCCACCCCCTAGGTGGGTCTAGCGGTTCTTCCAATGACAACAGAAATTACCGGTACAGCAACCGGTACTACAACAGTGCAGTTACTCATACTGACTATGAAATGCAGAGTCCACAGGTGAGAACCCTTTCCTCAGTGTCAGGTATATGATCCATATGTGCTGCATATAATTCCCACAGTCTTTCCTTATTCTGTAACTGAATGCATAAAACCTGCAAGAAGATTGAGTTAAGATTTATCCATTCCTGTCATGGGGTTAAATCCCAGAATAGTTCTGGGCATACATAATGCTACATGATATACAAGCATTTCTTACCTGTTTTAGCAGCATCATTAACATTCTACCCCCCTCCCACCCTACAAGGCTCCATCTCAGCAGCAGCTACGCATCTGGCCCGGAGGAGAGGGGGGTCCTCTGTCCAACAGTGGAGACCCTCCTTACCCCCAGCTGCTGCTGCACAAGCCAGCTGCAAGCCAGCACTCCCGCCACTTCCTGTCTGGGGTCGGGGTCGGCATGGGAGGCATAATGGAGCCGCACCATCCCCATCCCATCTATGGGAGCCACCACAGCAATGGCCGGCAGCTCCGTCAGCAGCAGCAGAACCAGCCACAGAACCAGTCGCAGCCCTGTCAGTCGGCACAGTCACTGATGCCTGTCTCCTCCCCACAGATGCAGGACAGCATTGAGCTGAGCCTCAGCCACCACCATCACCTGGGTCAGTCTTCCATCATGCCACCCCAGAGCTTGGACTCCAGTCAGTACGGCTCCTCCAATCTCCACCTGGGCCTTTCTGCTTTTCGGACTAGGACAGTCATGGCCCCCCAGCCCCCGCCCCCACCGCCCCCCACAGCCTCTCAGCAACAGTTGGCCCAGCCTCCTCCCTCTCAGGACAGCATGGTAGCTGCCTCTGGGCTTGGGTACATTCCCCCATGTTACCTTGGCAGTAACAACAATAACAACCCACCCCAGGGAAGTGTTGGGGTGGGAGGCAGCATGTTAACCGGGGGTCCTCCGCCGAGGGGAATAGGTGGTGGGGGACGGCCCGATTCCGAGGAGTCGGCCATGATGAGTGTGTGTGGTAGTGGAGGAGGGGGCGGTCCCAATGCGGCCAACTCTTGATAAATCTTGAACAAATTCCAAAAGCCATACAATTTTAATGAAACATAATGAAAATACGTGCAGACAAATACACCCACAAACACAAAAAGATGGTCAAACATACAGAGCCCAGTATACAGACAAAGTTGTGAAATATCAAAGGAAGTTTTTGTTTTGCATGTGAGATTCGGAGGATGGTAAAAAGGTTCTTGGAAAAAATGGTTCTTTTTCAGTTTTTTTTCCATTTCTTTTATTGAAGCAGACGTAAGGGGGTTTACACAGATGGAATCAAAAGTTTCGGAAAGTATGTTTTTATTATTATTATTATTATTATTATTATTATTATTATTATTCAATTTTATGTTATTTCAGGACAGGATTGCAGCGAGATTTGTTTTTGGGTTGTTTTTGGAATATGGAAACCATGAAAGGAGAGGAATAGTTTAAGAATTGAAATGGGTTGTGAAGAATGAATGGAGAGAAGTGTGATTAATACCCCTGCGCTATATTTTATGTCAGTTTTTTTTCTGAATTCTAGGCGTAAATTGTAAATTGTTAATTTATTAAAATTCACTACATGAGGAGGGAAAATGTGGGAGAGAACAGAAATAAGCGCAGGGTTTGGTTTTCGTGGGTTATTTATTTAACAATTCATGTAATTTATTTTTCTGTCCTAAAGTGGGGAAGTGTACCCACACACGCACACAGAAAAAATATTTCCCCTCACTCTGGTAATCCTCCCCCTTACACACACATACATACACAGATTTTGTTACAGTTTTCCTTTCTCTCTGTCTTTTTTCACCTGCCATACTGGTTTACATACTAACTATTTGAATAAATTAAATGACAAATGTCAATACATTGGGGGGCACACCAAAAAAGATGATATTTCAAAAATATTTGCAGAAGTTAGGAGAAGGGGTACAATATGACTAGGGGTTATGAAAAACAAAACATTTTGCTTGAAGAAAAACCAAAATGCTTCCCTTTTTTTTTTTTTTCTTTTTTTGTTTTTTTTTCTTCATCTCAACACTTGACTCAACAACAAAAAGATACATGAAAGATATACTGTGGGTTGGATTATCTATGGCTATTCTCAGCCAGATCTCGCTCACTGTCTGTTTCTCTCATCCCCTGTTTCTGTTAGAGTGAAGAGAAGTTGTGGAGACAGGATTGAGCTGGAGGAGAGGGCTTAAATATTACAGGACATGTTAATGCCCCTGACTCCTCCTCACCCTCTACACTCTCTGACTTAACACCCCCTTCTCCCTCTCTTGTTTATTTATTTTTTTAACTTTTTTAAAACTTTTTTTTTAATCCCACCCCCACCTCAAAACCCCCTGTGAGTGCAGTTTGCCATCAAGTCAAAAAAAGAAACTTCTCTCTTGGCTGCTATCTCCACTTTCAACCATGTTCGGATTGCTGCTAAAGAAAATAGATAAATACATAAATAAAAATAAATTAATAAACTTTTTAACCCTCCTGCTTAAGAAAAAAAGGAAAAAAATAAGCTACTGCATCTCATGTATTTATTAATATTTAAAGAAATATTGTTTTGCTGTTTCTTGTTTTTGCAGGTAAGCTGGGCATAAAATATAGTTTATAATAGGAATGCAGTCTTGTTTAAAATTATTTGTAAACAGAACTTAAGGGGAGAAATAAACTGGGAGAGGAATATAATGACAAAGTGGCCACCAAAGTACAGTCACCGTCAAACTGCATTCAACAATAATGCTTTCGGGGGAAGGGATGGGTGTTCATTGCTTAAACACTAGAATCCTTCGAGGATTTGTGTGAGTTATTAGTCTGACTATGGCAGAATTCAAGGTGAGGTTCCAGTTTTGGGTCTTGCTGTTGCTGGGTATATTTGCATGTGTTCCTAACTGAAGGTCTTGTGCAGCTGTAGGGAGACTTCCCCCGCCCCCACATGTATTGGACAGCTGACGGCAAGCAGTGAACAACCCTTCTGGTGTGAGTCCATTATATTACGTTAGACTTGGTGAAATTATGGTCCTTGTGATAATAATGTTACTACCAGTTGGGGGAAAAACTTCTTGTTCGGAGAATTGAAGTTGGTATTGTTTTTATGAAATTAATACAGCTGGAGTGCGCACCTGTTTATTAGCATTTACTTCTGTTAAAGAAACGTAGCTAAATGAGTTAAATCATGGTAGTATCAGGTAAGATGGGGGGAAATTTTAGCAATTCTATAGTTCAGGGTATATGCTGAGTGTGAACAGTCAAAAGTAGTGGAGAGCAGTGACTGAAGACCATCCAATATATCTATGTCAAAGCACTACAACTTTTGTCTAAAATGTGAAAACTATTTTTATATATAACAAGGTGGCTTGGTTTACGTGGCTACTGCTTTGAAAAGAAATGGGACCAACTGTGTCTTTCATCTCTCATTAGGAGGCTTTTTTGAATCTGGTACTCACAGTATATCTTAAACTCAGGAACATTTATGTTCTTAGGCAGTGATTATGGTTTTGCACACTTTGGGGAAACTTGGTATCGGGGATTTTCTTGTATGTATCAGATTGATTTTCGATCCTATAGATATTCCTGTATGCCCGTGAACAACACGTTTAAGCATCATGACACCAGCATGAGGAAGTGTTTTATTGGTCATCGAGTTGCGTTTACCAGTTTCACAGAAGTCGTCGTCCAAGGTGTTCATCGACAATATTTTTTCAGGTATTGTTACTTTCACATATGGTTAAATGGGGAAAACACACTGGAGGGGACGGTCAATGCACGGTAAGTGATTGAATGAATCACGTTATTATTAATAGTACTTATTCACGGGAAACTTGGGAAAGAATGTTTTACTTCTTACAGATAAGTAAATATTTTGGGAGGACTTGGTATTTTAATGTGAAGTAGGTATATAAAGACTTTAGCCTTCAATCTTATTTAGACACTGAATAGTGGCTGGTATTTGTCTTCCAGCAGTTTTGGGCAGTTTGACGGCTTAGCTTACCTAAAAAAATGTATACCTTTTCAATACGTCAGAATAACCAATTGAACCACTTGACGTAGCTGTGTGTATGTATATATATATAATGTATATGTATGTATGTATGTATATAAATAAGACTGAAATTTAAGCAGCTTATTGTACATTTATCATAAATACCTTAACGTCTACAAAGTGTTCTAAAACCTATAGCTATAAATAAAATTGGCATATTAGTTTTCTACATTCAGGTGATTGTCAAGTATATTGTCTTTCTTACTGACATACAAGACAATTTCCTAAATGCTACTACAGTCTGCGTCTGTACGTGTAAAAGCTTTCATTTTATTCAAACAGCCTGACAACGATTAATACTGCTGTGGGCGATAGTCCGGAGTTGAATGTCATCTCTTTTGGTGGGCAATCAATCCATCTGACAGTATATTTTAGTTTTAAGATAGCTGTGTCGGTTGCACAAAAACAGGAATGTATGGCAGTAAAACGGGCAGACGGGGACACTTAAATTGTTCACTTACGTCAGCTAGACGATTCTGAAATTATGATGAGCGATATGTAAAGCTACACCGGTTTTACAAATTATTACGTTGAATGGGGCAGAGAATCGATCTATTTATGGCATGTCAAATATGTATGATGAATATATTTGCCATCCTACCATATAGTTCCTAACCGATATCATTTAGGTTTCCTGTTAAAACGTGAGAAGCAAGATGTTTCCGAAGTGGGGATTTTTCAGATTAGGACACTAGTACGACAAGGTACCCACGGGCCAAATATTAAATGGTACAATTTAAAAAATAATAATTTGTAACCTGTGGCCTTCGACGTTTATACAAGATTAAACTCCGCAATGCATTGAATTGCCTAAAATGTTCATGAAGGAAGAACACTCGGAGTGTAAACACTGCTATGTGATTTACAAATGCTTGGAGTCTTTCGCCGCGGGGACGGTGATAATCCGATATACCCGACAGTTTTAGAATAAAAAATACATTAATTTATTACTCTACTTACGTAACACTTTGTCTGATTTGATTTCAGACTGTTGTGCAATTGAAATAACATTACATTTCTCGAGATATGCAGCAAACACGTACTACAGTTGCGGCTCCAGATTACTTTCTGGGAGGTGGTACGGGGGGAAACGGTAATATGGTGGTGGGGGCATCGGAAGAGAGAAAAATGTCACGATTTCTTCGACTACGTGTTAGGGTTGCCACCTCACTGCTGTAGAATTCCTGGACACCCAGTCATTGACCAAAATATTGCACATAGCGATACCATTCTAATAGTTTGTTTAGGTCTGTTTTAAATTATAATGACACATAAGAGTAATATCCCATATTTTGAATACATTGATAATTGATTTGCTCAATAATGTAATAACTTATTCGATTAGTTATGACCCCATACATTACACCTTAAATTTTACCTAATAGTTTTAAAATGTAACAAGCAGCATGTACTGTATGAAGTCACCCTAGTTAATGCAACAGCCACGAATCAATCTCTATCCATTTATATTGTAACTTTTGTTTTACTAAGGCAGCTTTGAACATGCCGGCAATGCGATTAGATGCAATCCTCGCTGACTATGTAGTGTGTCGAGCGTGCCTTTTCATGAAATTGGATGGCTAAAGATACAGTACATTCTTTGATCGTATTTCATTGTCTAAAAAGACAGTATAGTTTTTTTCTATTAATCGGCTATACCTCTGACTGAATATGAGAGTGTTATTAATGCATATACATACGAAAGGTAAAGATTCCGGGTCATTCCTTGTCCCGGAATGAAATTCGTTTTTCCAGCACGGACGAGCAAAATCCGAGATGGTCTCGGAAAATCCTGGACAGGTGGCAACCCTACTACGTGCACAAAATCAACAACAAAGAATGCAGCGCTATAAACTACGCCATATGAAAGGTACTTGAAGTCATATCCCCATTATTGTACATCACTTACTTTGCGTTCAGATAATCCTGCAAGCCAGGCTCTGATCATTAAATTTCTTCCTGAAATACTCATTCTGGGCATCATTGAATCTTCGTATCTTTGTCACATTAAGTCTGGTTCATACAATATGGAAGGCCATTAGAGCAAAAACTTCTTGAACTTTTCACCTAGAGCCAGCGTCCACGCGTAAAGATGGCAATAATTTCACACTTTTAAATAGTAGTACTATGCGCAATTTCCATGCCGGAAATTTTGATGTGTACATTGAAAGACAAACCTTCTATAGATGAATATTTAATTTTGTTTGTAAACAAGTTCATGTTAACTTTATGACCGATCAGAAAATGTTAAATGCTAAAGCACCAAAGAACCAATTACACACAGTAGCCTACGTATTTTGCACTGAATTCTTAAACACTGATAAGTAATATAACAAAATCAAGGGTGTATACACTGTGCAATGTATTGGAGGTTGTCAGCCAATTTAGAGAAATTGTGGAATAGGTCAGGATTAAACAAAAGCTAAAAGTAGTGATTTAAATATAAAAATACATTCTTAATGCAGGTTATATACGCTAAGATACAGCTGCAGCTTCACTAAGAACATCAAAGTCTGACCAGGCAAATACAATTCTCCGTTACTGTGGGAAGATATACGAAAGAATTTACAAACTACCATGGAAGAGTGTCTATGCAGTAATGATCTCAATGTGTTCTTTCTGACGTAGGTTACGTATAAAAAAGACACACAGGATAATAACAAACAGCGAAGAATTCGACTTTTATGGTGTTTGTGGTAAGACGTTAATGGTGCTTTTATTTTGAAAGATCATTTTGTTTACATCGACACGTTGCAAAATGCCCCTGTATGTGGAGTTATATGGCTGTCTGTAGAGGTAAAAATGTATCGTATGAAGGCAAGAAAGATTAACGTGGGAATTATTGCCGTCTTTGTAGGCATGAAATGTTAATGTGTGAATTATTGCTGTCTTTACGCGTGTATTTTGTCCGTCTGTAGGTGTGAAATAAACTTTTCGCCTAGAGGCAGAATTAAGAGGTTTCGAACCTAAAGACCTTCCGTATCTTATGGTGCGTTCGTTTTTCTCTCGGAACAAACATGGCTGCCTCCATGAACACGTTGCTGTGTGTTGTTGCTTTATATTTGAGCAGATTTGGAGTTTTCCAAATGAAGAAAATGGAGAAATTTAGATTTTTCCGAGAGACAAACAAGAAACACAAACTAGTCAAACCACATTAAATGCTTTATAAAATATTTTAGTACATTCATAGCGATATTCTTTTTTCGAACGGTAAATAAACTACAAACAAACCAAGTCGCCATGTTGAAATTATGTCACTGGGGCAACTCGGACAACAATCTCTTGATGGCGATTATTTGAGCTGACCTCGATTATTTTTTGCTTAATCGTTAGACTCATCTCCATTCATCTGTATTAAAATAGCTGGATAAGACAGCACGGTCATATTTTTGTCACTATTTTTACGTACGTTGTAATGCTCGACTGGCGCTCCTTCAGTGACATCACCTCGTTGCGCTTCTGAGCAGATCCATAACACCTGTCCTTTTCGTACCTCGCACGTCTGCCCATGCGCAAAAGTACACTTCACATCAAATTTTAGGACTGTGCCTGATTTGTACCACTTTATTTCACAACATTTTCACTACTCAGCCTGATCCCGTTAATATATATATTTTTTGTACTGCAAACGTTCATTTTACGGGCTGTTGTTTACGATCTCCACCAGCCCAGAATGGGATATTCAGCCAGATATTACAATTTTGGATTCTTCGTGTTAATAAAAGTTCTGCATAGCACCTTCACTTGTGTGTCTCGTTATGTTGGGGTGACTGTATATGTGTCCCTGGCACTATCATGCTGCAGCGAAGTAATTAAGTAGCTATATTATGCTAATAAGAGAAACAGCTAGACAGATGTGTTATTTTGTCAATTGATTCTGCTCTCACTGATTTGGAGTGATATAAATATATGGCTGAAACAAGCAAATAATAACGACAAACTTCATTATTTCAGTTCAGAATGAACCAAAGCTATAAGCATACTTAAAATACCATGTCACCGGACAGCAGGAATTTCAACTAAACGAAATATAAACATTTCAGATAATTGCCTGTTTCGGGATTTCGACTATCGGCAATTTTTTTGCATAATTGTTAGAATCGTTTCATCTATATAAACAGAAATGTCATATTTTTAATCACTATTTCATAGTTTTTACCCGTGCGATGTTTAACTGGTGCTCGTTTGATGACTGGTGCGTTGCTTCTGCTATGGATTAACTGCACGAGTGGAGAATTGGCGACAGTTCAGCACCTTGAAGCGTCAGACTATTTTCAGTGATATGAACATCATGGATAACTTAGTTGCAAAGCCAAACCCCACAGCATCTCCATCCATCCATCCATTCATTATCTATACCGCTTAATCCGTCTGGGTCGCGGTGAAGCTGGAGCCAATCCCAGCATCTTCGGGCGAGAGGCGGGGTACACTCTGGGCAGGTCGCCAGTCCACCACAGGGCCAATTAACACAGACAAACAGCCACACACACTCGCAGTCACACCTATGGGCAATTTAGAGTAGCCAGTTGACCTAATCTGCATGTCTTTGGACTGTGGGAAGAAACTGGAGCACCCGGAGGAAACCCACGCATGCACGGGGAGAACATGCAAATTCCACAAAGAAAGGCACCCTGGGATCGAACCCAGGACCTTCTTGCTGCCCCACAGCATCTCTGTGCATGCATTTTGGGTTTAAGCCAAATGAGAAAGGACAGCCTAATAACTTGGAGGAAGCGATCTGTCGAATTTGTTGAAGAAAGGTGTCGGTCAAAAGCTCTAATACAACAAATCTACAAAACCACCTGCGGATCCGTCACCCAACTCAATGTGCCGAACTTGGAAAGACAATCTCAGCCTCAGGTTCATCCCAGAAAATGTCTATTCCTTCGCCCGAGTAACTAAATATAAATGGCGTACGTTAACAAAGTGTAACGCGATATTAAAAAAAATAAGAAATGCTTCTATTACATACGGTTGAAAAACAGCGTTTAAAGAAATGCTTCTGTCCAAAACTTTAATCCTCAATTTATACAACCAAATGAAGGATGAGGGACAGCATAGCATTAGATACACAGTCGAATCTCCACACGCATTTGCAGAATGCCTGCCTGTCTCGAGAGCGCGCACCACAGAAAACAGCGAAAGGAAAGCTCTCTTTTTTTAACTCGT